GGGACAATGAGGCTCAGACTGGGAGGTGACTTGTCCTAAGTCACGTGGGCAGGAAGTGGCAGAGCCAAGTTGGAGACTCAGGTGGTCTGACCCATACTTGGAGCCCTGCTCTGCTGCCTGGGCAGGAAAGGGGGCCCTGTGAGGATGAGGCCTGGCCCTGCCCCTGCCCCCAGCCCCCTCCGCTGGGCGGCCGAGGAGGGTGGAGCTCTTGGCCAGAGCAGGGAGCCACAGCGGTTCCCAGGAATGCGGGGCCGCAGGGCCGTTTGCTTTGGCAGCAGATCTGCCCCCAGCTCTCCAAGCCTCCCTGTGGGCCTCCTCAGTCAGCCCCTCCAGCGCCCACCCACTGCCTGCTGCCCCTCCTAGGCTCTGCCTCCAGCTCCCACAAACCCCTAGGCAGGGAGGGGGTGCCAAGTGGTGCTCCTTTGCCTGCCCCTCCCCACATCCATGGGCACAGGAGGGGATGATGGTAAACATGGCTTCTGAACTCACCTGGGCTGGAAACCCAGCTCTGCCACAGACAAGCTGTGTGACCCTGGGCAGTCCCTGAGCCTCAGTTTTTGCATCTGTAAAATGCGGGTGAAACAGCACCTGCCTGACTGTTGACAACTGGCTGTTGATGCTGTCCTGTGATCTTCACCCATGGCTTCCAGTCCTGGGCTTGCCACCCACTTGTGCAACCTGGGGCAGCAGTCTCCCCCTCTGGCCCTCAGCCCCTCTGTAAGACCAGCATGCTGACAGAGTGATGGTCCCAGTCACTAGACATGGGGGCACCCACGGAGCAGGCCAGAGCTGAGGGCACAAGGGAGCCCAGGAACTTTCTTCTGCTTTCCATTCGATATCAAGAAAGCCATGTGGGTTTTTGAGAGGTGCATCTTGGGCCCTTGTCCCTAAGTCCTAGGCTGGAAGGGCCACAGCTGACCAAAGGGCAGTTTCAGGAGTACCCCAGGAATAAGGGGTGGCCTTCCTGTTGCCCTTGACCACACTGATACATTGGTGGTCACTCACCTGGCCCCATGCTGATGTGTGGTGAGCCGGGAGAGACCCCATCTTACAGAGGACCTTGTCCTCTCTCTGCTTCTACCAAGGAGACCCTGAGTGCTTCTCAGAGTGGGTGTGCCGAGCTCCGCCTCCACCCACATAGGCATCCTCCCAGGCTCAGGGCCACCAGCTGCCCTCCCGCAAGCAGAGAAGGAGGGGCTTTATCCAGAGCAGGATTCCAGCCCGCTCCTGTCGGCTCCTGTTAGCCTGGTGACCTTGAGCCTCAGTTTCCCCATCTGCACCAAGGGAAACCGACAGCATCTACTCACTATAGCCGTGTCTGAGGGTTCAGAGAATTCACGGACAGACAGTGCCTGGCACATGGTAGGTGTTCCACGGATGTTGACCTGGGGCCTCAGTTTCCCCGAGTGTCGGCCGGCAGTTGGAGGGCGCAGGCCCCGCCCAGAGCTCGCCCCGCCCTCCGGGGGTGGGCCGGGCC